GGTTTTCCCCCCCCCCCCCCCCCCCCCCCCCCCAAAAAAAAGGGAAAGACAAAAAGTAACCCTTTAATTTTAGGAGCTTGACCTGAGATCCTCTAGACCCCATTCCCCCAACACCAGCCAAGTATTCAGCGTTATACAGTTCTTTGCATCTCTGAAGCACAGCTCACATTCAGCTACAATGGAAGTTAGTGTTCAGCACTGACAAATAAGATTTTAGTCAAGCAATCAGCTGTCTTAAATAGGAGATCACTACTTCTCCTAAAACTGTCTTATTCACTCCACACCTTCCAGCTTCTGTTACAAGCAAGGCAGAAGTCTTACAGAATACAGCCTCCCTTGTACAATCTCATCTTATCCCCGCAGCCAGTTTTCCAGGCATACTAAAGGAAGCAGGGGGTCTGTGGAAAAAAATAGTATGTCATCATGTAATTAGAGACTTAACATGCATGTGCACAAAAGGGACCAAATTCAAGTTGTACAGGCAACCTTATTTCTGGTACCTCCTAGCTTCTGAGTAATTCTTTGCAACTTTTGTATACAATAAAGCTGTTAAATGTTATATTTCCTTACAATCCATTAAAAAACCTCATAAATAAAACCACCAATTCTGTCACAGAAAATCATAACAAGTACCCTAACCTGTAACTAGTTTCACCAGGTAACAATTATGGCACACAATTGCATCTATACCCACTCCTACAAAGAGAGACAAGGGTATTAAGTCCCTGGTTTTCAAAAGTCTGTTTACTCGCTGTCTGATTCTAGCTTACTGGGAGTCATTTCAACCCCCTCAAAAGAGCTTTTTACCTCTTCTATAGTAAGAAATGCAGCCTACTGAAAGTAACTCCCAGCCATCATTTGCCAAATAGACATCTTTACATAAAACAAGTCATACGCCAATTAGGTTCCTAGACATTTTTGCCCCAACTTTACCTCTGCGTGACTTCCAGGGTCAGATGAAGTTTCAAACTTGTAAGAATCCTCCCTACAAGGTGATGTGTACAAAATATATGAAGAGTTTGTGGCACAGTTATGAAAAACAAGCCTGTATAAATTTCATTAAAAGTAGAATACTGAACCAATGCAGATATTTGTTATTTGCAGTATAATTAATAATTAGAGACACATACACATGGGCCTGTTTTGGCGCTCTCGTCCTCTTACCCATTTCTCTTCACTTCCTACTATTTAATTCTCATGCAATGCATTTTTAAAGACTATAGAATTCTTCAGGAATATGCAACTGCTGCAAAAACTTCTTTAAGTATTTCTCTAGTCCCCCATAAAATCAGTAATAGTTAAAAAAGGAAAAAGCCCCCCATTACTTTATAAAAGTAGGATTTTCAAAAGTATTTAAGTGAATCTCAGGGAGACATTATTCCAGGGGGCTTTTGAGAATTCCACCTTTCAATGGTTGCTCTCTGGTCACACCTCTGCAAGCATCCGGATACAGAAAGCTCATAACCCATTTTTACTGAAAACAAAAGTAATTCACAATACAAAACGGAGAGATACAATTTCTTTAGACTTTAGCAACTAGTAAAAACCCTACCAATTTGGTTTTAAAATGTTCTCTGCTAAACAGAAGAGTACTATATACAGTAAGTGATATAGAGAAATAGCCCCTTCTTCCATGCTAGGGATTCCTAATATCAGAAGGTGAAAGCCATGTTTCTTTAACTATACTGGCCAGAGCCCTAGAAAAACCTGAATGACTGAGGCTAGGCAGTGGTGTGTGTTGTTTTTTCCATGTTGTTTCTGTGAAGCCAACTCTGCTTTGGCAGGAGGCACCTGCCATAATACATTACAATATTCAGTAATATTTCCATATTTAAAAAACAAAACAAAACTGTAGAACTTTCCCTGCTGGTTAGTCCTCACAACAGCCTGAGTTAACACCCAGTAAGATCTGACAAAATGAGCTTTGGCAATATTTCTTCCCCATTTTGCCTGGTTTCAGACTCCAGTGGTATGGCCTCCTAAGAGATTAAGACTAAGAAGAGAATTCAGATTTTTGAGATTAAAGCTACATCTGAGAGAACTTACTAAAGCTCTCTCATTTACAGGCAACATAAATGTACCTTTAAAATCAGTTTGAATACCAAAAACCAAACTAGTTATAAAAGCATAGAATTCCCTGTGGGACTTTAAAATCCCCAGTTTGGGTATCAATGGCTAGCTAAAGCCAAGTCAGATATCTCCATGTTATACCGCTGCCTGGGGCATAGGCAGATCTTAAATGGGTGAGAATGACAGTTTATCCCCACTGGATGGAGCCCATCAATTAAAACTGGTTCCCTCTCCACCTTTTGGAAGAACCTCTCACTAGTAACAAAAAACCAAAACAAATGCAGCATCTAGAGTTATGAAGCTACAAGATTAAACTGAGCCATCATAACATTACCAAGCACCCTTCCCCCACCTCCCCTAACACTCACATATAGCTGTTTATTGCCTTGCTTGCCCTGTGCTTTACTGGAGAGAAATGCATGAAGACAAGCTGACTTTGTTCAGAAAGAGAGGACAGCAATGATGTTTGAATCATCTCAATGCACTGAAAAAAGGGTCCTGGCTGCTCCATCTGGCCAGTACCTTCCAAAGGCACTCAAACAGTAGTTATACTTTTGAACTCACGGCTTCAAGTTTATTTTGGGTATGCTGGTAGTTCACAAATGCCACTTCAGAACTGAAAATAAAATCAGCACTTTTTTTTATAAATTTGGTTGGATGTTAACAAATCAGATCCCTACATAAACGGTACTCAAGCATGCTGAGATCCTGCTCTTCCAGGCCAAAGAACCCAAGGCTCAATCTACACTACAAGCTTAATTTGCTCCAGTTCTACCAGCAATATTTTCGGTGCATTTATGCTTAAAGCCCCTCTAATGCAGCAGAACCCGCCTTTCTCCTGGAGGGACTGCTCCAAGCTTCTGTGCTGTGACTGGCTGACAGAACAATATGGATGCCACTCTAGTGGCAGGAAGCGGCTCTGCCTAAGACCTGCTCCTAGTGCAAGCCAGTTGGGGGAATCACGAGCACAGTTTGAAAAACACTGTACTGTGGTTCTCCTCGGCCTCCCAGGACCAGACTATGCCAGAGGATGGATAGGCCTCTCCAAAGAGAGGAAGTGAATTTAAAATAGAAAGTGATTTCCCTGGGGGATGGAGGAATAAAGACAATACTTGAGACAATGTGGCATGATAACTTACTCTATAATCAGAGTCAATTATGCATATGTGAATCAAGTCACCTACATTCATAATAGTGTTAACTTCCAAATAATTACTTCACATTGAACTTATGCACCAGGGTTCATGAAATTCCTTCTATGGCAAAACCATGGCCGGCATCCTGCTAGTAGCATGGGTAGCCTCTATGGGGAATGTGATAGATGCAAGAGGCAGTGGGGAACAGAGACAGACCAGACAGGGACCAGGAAGAGTAGGGAAAGATTACTGGGGTGGCACTCCAGGACAAGGTAGGGCTTACTTTGTACCACTCCTGACAAAAAAAGGTCAGCCACCACTGGTCTATAGCACAATACTGCCTAGCTAAATGCAGTATTGACAATGTGGTCAGATTACATTAGTAGTGCAAACAAGGGTTGGGCAACGCAGGCACTAGCCTCAGGGGCCAATTTAGAGGGAGCACAAGAATGACAGCTGCAAGAATGGCAGCTCCCTGCCACTGTTGAGGGCACTAGCCCTGGATTATAACATCTTCCCCAGAAGCACTGGTCAGAGGTGTACAAAACCCTCAAAACAGACTGATCTTTCCTAATCCACCGTAAAAGAAAACATGGCTATTCTGTTCAGACCATTAAGTGCTGCTGACATGAGTTTTTAAAGCTTAATCTAGTTTTAAATGTTGATGCAGAAAGCTTTAAAATGGTTTCAAAATATGGTGCACCCAAGGTTTGATACATTTTAAGAAATGTATACCTACTTCAGGTCTATCCTTTGCCTGACCAAGCTTGTTCTTCGTTTTTTCTTCTCCAGTGCATCATCCTTAAGAAGAGATACAGACTGGCATAGTGAGTAAAGCTATTACTTGCAATTAAATCTTTTTAAAGCTAAAAAGATGCTAGGGAAGCCAAAGAAAAGAGGGAACACCCAAAAGAACACTACAACATTGGATACAGGTGTTGCCGTGGATGTAGTCTTTCTGGACTTCAGCAAGGCCTTTGACACCGTCTCCCACCCCATCCTCATTAAAAAAACTAGGCAACTGTGGCACTGATGCCTACAGTCAGATGGATTGCAGATTGGCTGAAGGGTTGTACTCAGAGGGTGATGGTGGACGGGTCATAGTTGACCTGGGGAGAAGTGGGCAGCGGAGTCCCCCAGGGCTCGATCCTTGGGCCCGCGCTGTTCAATTTCTTTATCAGCGATTTGGATGACGGGGTGAAAAGCAACCTGTTTAAATTCGCTGATGATACCAAAATTTGGGGTGAGGTGAGCACGTAGTAGGGAGGGAAAGACTGCAGCAAGACCTGGATAGGTTACAGGAGTGGGCTAACAAAAACAAGATGCATTTCAATACTGACAAGTGCAGGGTGCTGCACATAGGCAGTAGTAACCAGCAGCACACTTATAAGATGGGAAACTCCCTTCTTGAGAGCACAGAGGCAGAAAGGGATCTTGGAGTCATTATTGACTCCAAGATGAACATGGGCCGACAATGCGAGGTCACGGTTGGCAGGGCTAACCGGACCTTGTCGTGCATCCACAGGTGCATCTCAAGTAGAGCCAGGGAGGTGATCCTCCCCCTCTATGCGACGCTGGTCAGGCCACAGCTGGAGTACTGCATCCAGTTCTGGGCGCCCCATTTCAGGAGGGATGTGGCCAACATTAAGAGGGTCCAGAGGAGGGCCACACACGTGATCCGGGGAACACAGGGCAGACCCTACAATGAGAGACTGCGGGACCTGAACCTGTTCAGCCTTCACAAGAGAAGGCTGAGGGGGCACCTGGTGACAGTCTATAAACTCACTAGGGGGGACCAGAAGGGTTTGGGAGAGACCTCGTTTCCCTTGTGCCCCCTGGCATAACAAGGAATAACGGCCACAAGTTGTTGGAGAGTAGGTTTAGATTAGACATCCGTAAGAACTACTTCACAGTTAGGGCGGCTAGGATCTGGAACTAAACTTCCAAGGCAAGTGGTGCTGGCTCCTACCCTGGGGGTCTTTAAGAGGAGGCTAGATGCCTACCTGGCTGGAGTCATTTGAGCCCAGTTTTTCTCCTGCCCAGGCAGGGGGTCAGACTTGAAGATCTACAAGGTCCCTTCCCACCCTACTTCTATGAACAGCAAAGAAGGTAGAACACTTAACGTCTTTAAAAATTTATTCCCAAGGTAAGCACAGACTGAACTGAGTTTCAGCTATGGGCCTGAACTAGCCTGTCCTGAAAAAGACAAGTCTTCAAACACAGGCATTTCTGGTAAGACCCTTGTTAAAGCAAACATCTAAGAACACCGGCTTCAAAATCAAATGCCACTTGTTTCTAGGTCCCTAACAGGCCTTAGTTGCACACTGAACTGCAGTTATATGATCTTTCTGAAAGAGAAAGAAAGGTGGAAGAGGTGAGGAATCAGGCTACTAAGTCCCTAAATATGTTTTTTGGTGCCTGATATCAGGCACTTACGATGGAAGTGTTACTTGATTGTTTTTAAAGATTTTCACATTTGTAATACAATGGAGAAAGTAGCTATGGAGAAAAATATTAGTTACTTCATAATTCCTAGAAGCTCAGGCCATGGACCACTTTGTGCTAGGTACTGCACACAAACGTATCAAAGAGTTTCACTTACAAGCAATCATTATTAGAACATGAACTCATTGCTTTCCTGTGAAAACTGCAAGCATCACTTAGAAGGATTTCCCCATCCTCCTTTCCACATATGTTAACTGTACCGTTTCCTCATGCCCCGCTCCACCCTGCAAAAGCATACCTTTGGAGAAAGTTCTCTTACAACCTGAATATCAGGATCTTCTACCACAGGTAACTCACTATGGGCAAGAAAAAAAAAGAACATTTCCAAAGTACTATTAGTTTTAAAGCCAACATAAGTGTTTATGGGGGGGGGGGGGGGGGGGGACTCCCCCCACAATTAAGTTAATAGCTCCATCAGCTCCAAACCAGAGGTGCACCAATACATCAGTGCAATACCAGATCGGCACCAATATAAAGAAAATTGATCGCATCAGAAAATCGGTCTGATGTGGCAGATAATTTGGCCAATATAGTGCCCATGTGTGCCTGCAGCTGCAATGCAGCATGTAGGTGGTGAGAAACACAGCCCAGCACCTTGAAGAGGTGAAAG